ATGTTTTTTAAATGTATAGCTGTTACTTTTTTTTCAAAAATTTCTCGCTAGTAATAATTTTTTACAAAGTATTTCTGGTATTAAAACCTATTTTTACACTTTCATAGTGTTTTGAGACCAGTTTGGGGTTTAACTATTTACCCATAGCTGGGACTGTAACAGGTGCTGCCACCACGGGTCAGGGTGGACCTGGGAACACCAGCAATTAAAAGGTGGTTCCACGCTCCTCAAAACCTGATCAGAGGCCTTTCTGTTGGACATAGTTTATCGTCATGCCCAGGATGCGAATGTAGTTTATCGTCATACCCGGGACGAAGGAAGGTGGGTCTGGAGAATCTGATACTCACGGGTCAAATAGACGGAAAGAGAGACAAGGGAATGCAGCGCCTGATATACCTGACGAGCTTGAGCAGGTGGATGACAGAAACAGAGGGAGGAGTTTGCTGAGAGCTCCAAGGGATAGAGGAAGGTGGAGAGCCATGATCGCCCACGTCCTGAAAGGACATGGCACATAAAAAGAAGAAAGAAAGAAGGGAAAAAAAGAATATAGATTCCGGAGATAAAGATTATCTAGCACGACGTAATGTACCGACTTTCTTAGCAGCTGACCTAACAATGGATTCAATATAGTCTTTCCACTTCAGGTTAGCCAAGAATGTGAGCCTGAAAAGCCGCACGAGTTATTGTCCTGGAGGTTAGTGTTAGCCATGCTGTTGTGAGGTAGGAAGAGGTCCCACAGATGGTTATTAAAATAAAATATTTAAGCAGCAAATTCTCAGAGACTTGGTGCACAGAATGCCATAAGGTCCCCAAAGGACCTTCTCTAGATTTTGAATTATCAAGACTCTCTAAATATAGATCAGGAGCCCCGGACCATATGTAGCAGCAATATTCTAAGCAAAAATAACAAACCTCCAAAAAATAACAGCTATACATTCAAAAAACATATTGCCAGCAATAAAAATCTTGTCGGCATTAAATAACCCATTGAGATTGATATGCCGTAAAACAAAGCAAACTAAGCCATCCTTCCTCATTATGTCCCAGAAACTTCAGCTGCCTCTTTCTGGTGTTAAGTATAAGCCTTCTCATTGCTTGTAACCTCTCTAAGACTTCATTGTTCCTCATATGCTCGGTCCATGGTATCCTTAGCATCCTTCTCTAGAACCACATCTCCGTCGCCTCGAGTCTGCCATTTGTCCAGGCTTAGAATATTGCTGCTACATATGGTCCGGGGCTCCTGCTCTATATTTAGAGAGTCTTGATAAAGTCCAAAACACAGGCAGCAATATTATTGGTCCTGGCCTGGCATCTCGGCTTCAGTCACTTTCCGTCCGCTGTAAGGCTCCACCCATCAGTACCTTTTCTATAAATACTTTTATTCTAACTGTTCGGATGAGCTCTCCGCTATGGTATCTCGACTTTACTAATTTAAACACTGTATTAGACGTGCTGAGGTGTCATCAATTTACAGTTGATTTGGCTAGATGCAACTGGAAGTTCTCTCATAGCAGTTTCTTTTCTCGCACTTCACGCTTGTGGAACTTCCTTCCGGCTCCATGCTTTCCAACTAATCTTCAAAAGTTTAAATGCAATATCAATCACTATCTAATGTCCTCTTTATTAGTTTTCATTTTGTTCTCTCTCCTTAGTAATGTTTCTGTTTCTAATTCTTACACACTCAGTAGCCCCTCGTGTCTTAGTGGCTTTACTACCTTGCTTGGGGTGAACTTGAAAAAAATATACGATTGAGTGTGCGTGCGTGCGTGTTTGTGTGTGTGTGTGAATCCATAAATTGTAAACTCGGTATGGAGAAGTAAAATAGTTATAATCACCTTCCAAAACCAACACAACGTACTCAATAAAAGATCAGAACTTATCACAATACGCAGACACGAAAAAAGATTTTAACTTCGTTACTTTAAAATCTTTATCAAAAAGATTTCTTTGTAAAATAGCACCAATAACGTAGAAATATGAGACCTAAATACGACGCAGATATTGTAACACACCTTAGTCAAATCAATACTTTAAACTAAAAAAATAAGTCAACTAAACCCGAAAAAACATCTGAAGAAAACAAATTCCGTAAATAATGAACAGGTAAACTACAAATGCACACATAAACCCAAGTAAACGTAATAATAAACAACAAATTATTAATAATAAATACGGACTAAAACGTTAATAAATATCACTATAAAATACCTACAAATAATCTCACTCAACAGCCTCTAAAATGATTTGAAACCTAACCGTTATCGCCTGCCCAATAACGGTTGGGATAATGCAATAGATCTTGCTACCCATAATGCACCATTTACCAGCATATATAAATAGTCGAGCCAAAACACAATACATATGGCCTGAAGATTGTCTTCAAGCATGAAACTGCCTATTGCTACTGCTCGATAGCGACTTTGACTTAGCGACGGATTGGGTTATCATCTAACATGGTATCTTGGGAGTATGTAACTGAAAGCTTTCTGCATTTAACATCCTGGCTCATTCCCCTCCACAAATGCATGTTCACAACCCCGAGAAGAACATCACTGTACTGGAACAATCTCCCTATTCACCTAATCTTGCCACGTATGTCTTTTTTATTTCCACCAAGCTCAGAGAATCAGCAAGGGGGTCCATTTTTAAGGAGTGGATGCCATCAAGGGAGACGTAACGACGGAGCTGAGTGGCATCCAAGAAGAATCCTTTCTGCGGTGCACAGGAGCATGGTAGCGGAGGATGGGAAAATGCATTAGACACGAGGGGGAATACTTTGAAGGGGAAACCATATGGTTTGTTATTTAGAATTGAAATAAATTGTGACACCGTTATTTCTCAGACACATATATATATATATATATATAATTTTTTCATGTGAACAAAAACAATTTACTCACTACACAGATGCAACTTTGTTTCGGTACATTTAATTGCACTTCGACTGGTGAGAACCAAAATAAGTTGTCTAGGGAAATTAAACCCCAACCACCCCTAATCAAAATAGATTGAATTTTCCTTAACCTTAATAAACTCAAAATATTAAGATTGTCTGCGCTTATAAATTAAGTAAATTTCTTTTAATTTTAATTTCAGTTTTGAAGCACAAAAATTTCCGTGTCGCGATGGAATCATATTTTTAAAAATGAAAATAATTTTAAAAATATAATAATATATATATATATATATATATATATATATATATATATATGAGCTGAGGAATTATGATTACTTGCATTATTTACATTTTTCGGACTGGTATCCTCAACTTCATTGCCATATTCACAACTTTTCGGCCGTTGTATGCGACGGCCTTTATTTCGTCCACCTGTGTAGATTTTTCTCAAAGATACATGCCCAGTGGACAAAGGCGTTGATTAGATTCAGTGTCTAGATCCATAATGTTATGAGTTTAATACCAGGCTACAGTAGGTGTTAACCAAAACTTTGAGAGTTGAGTTAAAGGGAAGTGACTGAGAAAAGGCATGGCATTTTGAACTAGAACTATGTACACCGATGGACGAAATAAAGGTTTCGGTTCGAAATTTCAATCACCTGATGAAGGCCGGCACATAGAACGGCCGAAACGTTCTGACTATGGTAATGAAGATGCGGATAAGCGTCCGAATAATGTAAGTCTAGCCACACTGATGAGCTATGATACAGCGAAACAGTCTGTCTGTTGATGACAATATATATATATATATATATATTGTCATCCATATATATATATATATATATATATATATATATATATATATATATATATATTGGTATCACACACACACACACACACACACATATATATATATATATAGATGACAATATATATATATATATATATATATATATATATATGCGGATAACAGAGCATTTACTTACATATTTGTATCTATAAAAAGAATGTATAAACATAAAAATGTCTTAAAATATACATGTGCGGATAAATATATATATATATATATATATGTATCCATCCACAGAGAGACTGTTTCGCTGTATCACCGCTCATCAGCGTGCTAGACGTCCGGTTGCTTCTAGCTAGGATCGAAACCCGGTTGAATTGTCAGTTAATCAGTCGAAAATTTTACCCCTAAGCCATTGGCGCACAGCAGGGATGAACGTGTATTTAAGCCTATTTATTTTTAGATAAACAAACAGTGACCGAGAGGACTCGATTCACTTTACCGAAGAGTCTTGTATTATCAGCCGTAATAGTTACTGTTTGCAAACTCACATTTGGTTCCCCAGATATATATATAAATATATATATATATATATATGCTATAATATACTATACTATACTATCCAGATGAGTCACTCTTTGAGTAAAAACCCAAATTCTGTTATGTTGACCCAGAGAGGAATGCTGGTAGCGTAGACGGTCAATGTTCCCGTCAATAGACATTAATTATGTTTGTTTTGTTACGTTTCGCAATGTAGGAAATTAGCCTTTGACATGTGAGTGCAAATGAAGCAAAGGTGCGTCACTGAATTCCTGAATGCGGAAAGTATTCGCCCACTGACACTAATCGATGACCACTGAACCTTTATGGTGACCAGTGGCACAGTTAGTCGATGGTTAATGCTTTTTTGTGGTGATAGCGATGTGTACGACCAGCCTCGCTTCGGACGGTGCAGCACAGTCTCCCGGTCGTCATCGGTGAAAATAACCAGTGGTGGCGACAATTGGGTTTAGTACTCTACTGTGGGTGAAATACTACTCTATACAGTGGCCAAAATGTGCCCCTTGACTTTCTTGTAATTTCCGTGGAAACAAATCGCACGGGACGACCAGTAATATGGATTTCAGACACTTCCTGACGGCAAAGTCGCTGGGATCGTCCGCCACAAGCCGATATTATTAGTGTCACCTCTCGGAACATTGATTACGGTAGGACACGAACCCCCTTCTCATGGTCGGAACGCTAATGTTCTCACCACTGGGGCTCCCACCTATAATTTGTATATACATCAAGATTTCGCATCAGCCCGATATTTTAGCGATATTGCTGAAGAGATTGACATATATACTTATTAAAAGACTGAGATAGATAGATAGATAGATAGATAGATAGATAGATAGATAGATAGATAGATCTGAAAAGACTATCATAGATAGATATGAACAGACTAAGATAGATAGATAGATAGATAGATAGATAGATAGATCTGAAAAGACTATCATAGATAGATATGAACAGACTAAGATAGATAGATAGATAGATAGATAGATAGATAGATAGATAGATAGATAGATAGATAGTGTTGTGGTAGGATCCACCTAATTTGCATAGTGGAGTACCGACCATATAAATATTGTTGGTACCGGGAAGAGAGGGAGGAATCAAGAGATTCAACCAGAGTCTCTGCCCGACTGCGACTCTGTCAACACATTCTCCAGGAACGGTCTTACCAGGAATATACAAAAGACTATATGTAAATATTGTGTACATTTTCTTGTTTCAATACATTTTGTTCTAAGTACATTTTGTGTTGCATTATTATTCCATGCATTAGTCAAGTTTCAACAGATAGATAGATAGATAGATAGATAGATAGATAGATAGATAGATCTGAAAAGACTATCATAGATTTATGAACAGACTAAGATAGATAGATAGATAGATAGATAGATAGATAGATAGAGCTGAAAAGACTAAGATAGATAGATAGATAGATAGATAAATAGATAGATAGATAGATAGATAGATTTTGAAAAGACTATCATAGATAGATATGAAAAGACTAAGATAGATAGATAGATTTGAAGGGAGTGAAGTAGAAAGCATGTAAGAATGATATAAATAATAAGCGGCCTTCGGCAGTTAAAGAGTAAAGCAATTAATGAATGTGACTCTTTAAAACCTGGTCTCTCCATGACTAGCATCAACATGTGACTTGCCTTGGGCCCAATGAACTCATTGTAGGATCGAAATGTCATTTCCACCAAGGACGCATTGTCATTCTATACTTCGAAACTTCCAGACACAAAAAAAACAAGCACTATTTCTAACGTTCAAACTGATTTTTCTTCTCTTCAGATTTGCAATTTCCTTGTGTCACAAAGAGAAATATTTTTAATTATCGACAGGATGTGAGGGGACTATTTTTTTTTTATTTTTATTTTTGGGGGGGGGGTGCTGACTCAAAAACAGTTTCACACTGGAATAATTGTATGAAACAAATTACTGTCAGCTTTTATTTTTCATTAACTTTTCCTGCTTCATATAACAGATTTGCAATTGTTTCTTTTGTTACTTGACAAATACATAATTGTGATTTCTATTCCTGACTCCGTTGGACACGTAGGATGTGAGGGTGGCGTAATGTACAGTGGCTCGGGAGGAGAAATCTAGAAAAAAAATCCTAGATTTGAGTTGGGGTTCTTAACATACAGTTTTTTTTTTTTTTTTTTGTTTTTGTTTTGTTTTTTTTGCGGGGGGGGGGTATTTTTTTTTCATTTCACCCCAAGCAAAACCTTAAAGCCACAAAGGCACAAGGAGCCACTAAGCTTGAAAGAATATAAGAAAAATAAAAACATTATTATGGAGAGAGAACAATAGAATAACATGAGGACAGAAGATAACGACTGACATTGCATTTGAATTTTTGAAGATCAGGCTTGACTGAAAAGCAGTAAAATGGAAGAGAGTTCCACAAATGTGAAATATGCAAATATCCTTAGGAATATATGGAATCACGAACCGAACACTTTATTTAGTCCACGGAAAGTAGATTGTTCTAATTATACGTGCTATGCTTTTGGATATCGCAGGTTTAGTTACTTCCCCTTCAAAGTTTTTAATCTCTCTGTTGGAGGCCAGGGATTGAACTCGCAATTCTTTTGGACAAATCACTTCCGGATCAAACAACCAACTCTGTTATCCAATGGGCGTCGTGAATATGTCAATAAAGATGAGGACAACAGTGCGAATAATGTAAATAGCGTAAATAGTTACAATACTTCATCTCAGAAATATAGACAGATGTTGAAGGCCAATATGGCAATAAAGATGAGGACAACAGTCTGAACAATGCAAATAGTGTAAATAGTTACAATACCTCATCTCAGAAACATAGACAGATCTTGAAGGCAAATATGGCAATAAAGATGAGGACAACAGTCTGAACAATGCAAATAGTGTAAATAGTTACAATACCTCATCTCAGAAACATAGACAGATGTTGAAGGCCAATATGGCAATAAAGATGAGGACAACAGTCTGAACAATGCAAATAGTGTAAATAGTTACAATACCTCATCTCAGAAACATAGACAGATGTTGAAGGCCAATATGGCAATAAAGATGAGGACAACAGTCTGAACAATGCAAATAGTGTAAATAGTTACAATACCTCATCTCAGAAACATAGACAGATCTTGAAGGCAAATATGGCAATAAAGATGTTACAATAATCATCTCAGGACAACAGTCTGAACAATGCAAATAGTGTAAATAGTTACAATACCTCATCTCAGAAACATAGACAGATCTTGAAGGCAAATATGGCAATAAAGATGAGGACAACAGTCTGAACAATGCAAATAATGTAAATACTTACAATACCTCATCTCAGAAATATAGAAAGATATTGAAGGCGAATATGGCAATAAAGACGAGGATAACAATCTGAACAATGCAAATAGTGTAAATAATTACAATACTTCAACTCAGAAATATAGACAGAACCTTGGGGGAAAAATATAAATCTCTTTCCTCCTAACTTCGGGTTAAATAGTAATACTTCCATCTAGAACAATCATTGCTATTCTCAAATAATTGTTAATGCATTATTTACGTCTCAAATTTAAATAAAACACAAAGGGTTGATAAGCCGTAAAAAACAAATCAATCAATCAATTATTAAACTCGTTCAATTATCACATCAGTGGCGTTCATTAGAAAACAAGTCTTCTCAATACTAACTCTCTTCAGTATTATCTTGGTACTAACATTTCACACCCATTTTTTCTGACAGAATACATTGAACATCAAGTGATATCAAGTCATCCCAGATACTCCCGCATTCACTTCGAGAATCTTGATACGTGGGATGTCCATCGTGACAAATCGGTCCTCTCACATGCAAGAGAATGCTCAGATGAAGAAGATACTTGAGACAAAAAAAAAATGCAGTTCTACAGAAGTATGCTGAGAATACCATGAACGAAACGTGTGAGTAACGAGGAAGTTTTAATTTCCAGGACACATTATGAGAAAAGAGGGCTTGGTGAATCTGACAGACACTGGGTACGCTGAAGGCAAGAGGGGCAGAAGAAAACAACGAGCTTGTTCAAATGGATGGCTGAACAAGTAATTGTAGTGATGGTGAAAAGAAAAATATCTAAAAAGGATAGGAAATCGTGGAGAGCTATGATTTCCAACGTCCTGAAGATGACTGCTCGTATATGGTGGCTTTAAGTGGAGGCAAGTGGCAATACTATCTACAAAATCCAATTACACGTCTATTATTCTCCTTGTTGTATGTACGACTCTTACCTAAAATCAGTTGAGTTTCTGCTCAATATCCAACCATTCTGAGATGTAATCATTTATGCTTCCTGACAGTGAGAAACACATATTAATATTAAACGAAATGAGAGCTTGAAAATATCACGGACGAGGGAAGAATGGGAAGAGGAAGGCTGTAAGCTAAAAGAAAAAAGAGAAACCAAGAGAGATAGATAGATAGATAGATAGATAGATAGATAGATAGATAGATGTGAACAGACTGCCATAAATAGATTCATAGATCTGAACAAACTATCATAGATAGAAATGAACACACTGTCATAGATAGATCTGGACAGACTATCATAGATAGATAGATATGAAAAGATTAAGATAGATAGATAGATAGATAGATAGATAGATAGATGTGAACAGACTGCCATAAATAGATAGATTCTTAGATCTGAACAAACTATCATAGATAGAAATGAACACACTGTCATAGATAGATCTGGACAGACTATCATAGATAGATAGATATGAAAAGATTAAGATAGATAGATAGATAGATAGATAGATAGATAGATAGATTTGAAGGGAGTGAAGTAGAAAGCATGTAAGAAAGATATAAATAATAAGCGGCCTTCGGCAGTTAAAGAGTTAAGCAATTAGATAGATAAGAAAAGATAAAAGATATATTCCTTTATCTACATCTATGTGTTCAATATCAAGCTATTGAACACTTCACCCAAAATACAGCCAAATTTCAACATAATAAAAACGAAAGATTATTAATCCACAACCCAGTGTGTCTGAAGATTTTAATTTTTTAATATTTTTTATTGTTTAAAATATATATATATACATATATATACAATATTCAAAAATAAAAATCTAGCGTCGCGACTTAGCACGCTCCAAATTTTTTTATCTGTTAATAATATCACATTTTAAATAAAGAAAATATCTTTCGACCAGTACTACATTTATTTCCGTCTCAGATTTTTACCTGAAATTGAAAAATAACGTCCATGCTTGAAGATGATACAAGTGGTATCGAAAGTACTTGCAATATGGGCTCAACATCTAATCCATTTAGCAGTTTTAAAAACAAGGATCGCGTCGTTCAACGAGTGATTAGTGAGTTAATGCCTTATTTACTCTGTTAGCGAAGAGATTTCGTCATTTATTAAATTACCTTTATTAATTTGTTCTTCGTATAACTACTTTAGAATATATATATATATATATATATATATATATATATATATATATATTACATTAATTCACTTACGTGCTAATACCCTTGGTAAAAGTATGGCTCCTCTTCTTCACCCCCCAGCTATGGGTAATTAGCAGAACAGACTGGGCTCTATAGCATTGGATGGCAACAGGAAAAGAAGAAGGAAAACTCTTAAATCAAAACCTGCACAAGGTTGTTTATGGACTTTGTGGCACGTAGTGCACTAGGTCTTTGTATTTAGAACTTTAAAATGTGTGGTTGCTTCTCTACAAAATCTTCACCACTATACTCAAATTATATGTGCCGGTGTCTGTCTGTCGGTTCCAAGTATACTGAGTTGCTGACCGTCATACGTGGAGTCCATATATATATATATATATATATATATATATATATAAGAAGAAACAATATTTAAAGAAAAATATTTTTAGATTATAACAAGTTTTTGTTTTTGCTTTTTGAGAGATGATAATGATTTACTGATACAATTTCAACTTATTAATCCATAGCTAGGGGAAGAAGAGATGGATTTCTAACGTTCTCAAGGTTATTTGCGTGTAATTGAATATAACGAACCCGACTGGAATTGGAACTCGGCTCACCGATTTACAATTCCGAGCCTTTATCCATGACACCACCCGCACATCCAATCTGACAATAGCTAGTGAAAAAACATTGTGCCAAATATATTTATATATAACGAGAAAATGAAAAAAAAATGTGAGTGGCGTGTTTCGACCTTTAGGTAACAGTAATTAGAATATTAGCCGTTTCCTTATAAGGAAATATTCAGCACTCCTTGACCGAGCAGCCAAGACGTATTATTTTTTCTTCGAGTTACATGTGATATCCATTTTAGCTGTTTGTCTCTGTTTAAAGTCCACAAGAGATGTGATTTCTGTCATTTGATGTAGGTATTTGTTTGCGATTCTGTAGCGCCACTTAACGTTCGGAGAAGGCTTCACCGGCCAAAAGTCATCACAGACCAAAAAAAAAATTACACTTTACCATTATTTTCTTAACATCGTTCGAGTACAAACAAAATTATATATCAACTTCTTTTCTCCCTATATATATATATATATATATATATATATATATATATATAATTATTTATTCGAAATTTATTCGAATTATACACAGATAGAAATTTTTAGGAGGATTTGATAATTATATTTAATGAATTCATCGAGTCTGATAGAAACCTCAACAGAATGCAGAAAGCACTGGACGGCCGTTTCGTCCTATATTTGGGACTCATCAGCAGTGCGCATCCACTACCGAGAATTGAAACCCTGACAGTTAGGTTGTCAAGTAAACATCATACCAACTGTTTGTTACGTTGGTAGGACTATACACGCGCACGGTGGAGGGGTGGTAGAAATCTTCCGAATTTTTATTTTTTTATCTAGCCGAATTCATTTAGTCTTTTTTTCTTCCCATCACTTCTGTAAGTAGGTATTCCACACTGTGATATTAGAATTCGACGAGATAATATATATATATATATATATATATATATATATATATATATATATATATATATATATATAAGTTACTAAAGACTCGGTAATCCGTATGGGTAGTCCCAAGGAGGATGAAATCCTGAGAGCTCAATGTAAATTCAGAGCTAATAATTTAAAAAGAAAACAGACCACTTTAAGGCTCCATTGTAATAGTTTATTTCACCAGAGACATTTTAAAAGGGCGCTGGATCATCGACATCACTTGCAAAAGGTGAAAAGTAATGCCTGATGATCCAGCTTCCCTTTAAAAAGTCTCTGGTGAAATAAACTATTACAATGGAGCCTTTAAAGTGGTCTGCTTTTCTTTAAATATATATATATATATATATATATATATATATATATATATATATATATATCGTATTCATTATTCGTCCTTCAAAAAAAGTGTGGCTGGTCCTGCACGAAACCTTCACCACTATAATCAAATCTCATGTGCCGGTGTCGAGCTGTCGGTTTCTAGGGAGACTGATCTGCTTGATCTTCATAAGTCGAATCTCGACGGGAGAGTCGATTATTATATATATATATATATATATATATATATATATATATATATATATATATATATATATATATATAAACTACTCTACGGGCGTGAGGTTTGGACACTCCTGTTTCAGGTAGGAGAACAGATGTTTGAGAATACTCCACCGTATCTCCTGATGAGATGACTATCTACGGAGCAAGATCAAAAGTTTCATGGGTCGACAGGAATCCCTTCGCCGTTTCATTTAGCTATTTCAACAGTAAAACGGCGCGGCTTAGTTGCCAACTTAGTTACACGCTTAAATTTATGCTGTCTGGGTACCAGGAAAAAAGTTTCATGCGAGCAGTTGCCATGAAATTATTTGTAGAACAGACAGAAGAAAGGCACATGACGTCGGTAAGAATGTGATTAGAGACGAGATGCCTGTTGAAGATAAATTGTATCGCAGATCCTTCTCTGGGTTTTTTTCAAGAATCTCGAGATGAACAGTAAGAACACCAGACGAATGGTAGATTTATAAATGTACGAGATAGATTCTGACGAGAAAAACTTTTGGCGCGACACAGTAAACCAACTTTCCTTGCAGTAGACGCGGCAATTGATTCGATATAATCGCTCCTCTTCGAGTCAGTGGAAAACGTGAGTCCAAGAAGGCGCAGAGTGTTGACATTTAAGGAAAAGAAATATCTTATTACCTTTTTCCGCCATTTTCTTACATTCTCAACACTTCCCCATTCTTCTTCCTTTTGTTTACCAGTTCGCCTAATCTCAACTAACGTATTTTAATTGCGGTTCCATGTGCGCCAGTTACTATGGGTACTACTTTCATCTTTGTTCTCTACAGGTTTCTGCTATTTTTATTGGGGTCCTCGTGTTTTTTTGTGTACCCCGGCCCAGGAAAAATCGTAGCATGTTTCCATTTTAATCGCATTCTTACATTTTCAGCCTGTCGTCTAAAACCCACGATCTGATGTTTACCACACTTGGCGACCGGATCAAATCGCAATAATCCGCTGTATTTCAGTCTTTTTTTTAGCTTCTGGGTTATTCTGATCCCACTTATTTACTTCATGGATCATTAATCGATTGCACAGTTCCCAGTGTATCACTGTTCCTACTCATGCACATTAAGCAATGTCTGACAGTGCTTACATACACTGTTTGATCACCATAAAGTTTTATTATTTCTACCCTGCTGATTTTTATATTTCTTTTTTCCCTTCTTGTTATATAGTATAGTCTACATACTCTTCATTGGCTTAGATGCAGGCATGAAACCAGCAAGGATTAAGAATTATGAATTTTGGATTTTATAGATTTTATCACAATATTTCGGCCGATTTATTCTCCGGACGTGAGGAATAATACCGAAAAAATATATAATAAATAGAAATATCATGCTCGAATGAATTCCTTCAGTTAATCCAAAAAAGGATCAGTAATGTAATTGATCCTGACTTACCATCTCGACTTTAATCTCTTTCTCGCCAACGTGACGTGGATTCCCTGTCTTTTGTACAAATATTTTCATGGCACTGCTCTGATGGTGACAAGACTACATGACTTTAAGTGAGTTACTAGATTGGCATCTAGATCCCAAACTTTTTATTGTTGAATTAGTTAAATGTAACTCCAATTTCTACTCAAACACTTCCCACCTGTGGAACTCCCTTCCGTTTCCTTGATTCTCTGATAACTATAATCTTCAAAAATTCAAATGCAGTGCCAATCGCCATCTTCCGTCTTCTTGAACCACGTTCAGCTTTTATCCTTTCCTCAGTCTCCCTTATACCCAGTCTTTTTCTCCTACCTTTACTCTCTGTAACCTCCTAAATACCAGTAGCACGCCTGTCTTCCGGGGGGGGGCAATTAAAAAAAACTGAGCTGGAACAACTACATTAAATCAATAGCTGCATCTACCGCAAGGAAAGTCGGTTCTCTGTGTCGTGCCAGAAGGTTTTCCTCATCTGAGTCCATCCCTCACATCTACAAATCTACCATTCGTCCATGCATGGAATACTATTGCCATATATGGTCTGCTGCCCCCGCTGTTCATCGTGAGATTCTCGACAAAATCCAAAGAAGGATCTGTAATGTAATTGGTCCTGAATTGGCTTCTTGACTTCAGTCCCTTTCCCAACGACATGATGTGGTTTCCTTTTGTCTTTTCTACAAATATTTTCATGGCAACTACTCTGTTGAGTTCTTTTTGTTTTTTTTACTTGGTGTCCCAACTACGTGAATTTAAGCGTGCTACTAGATAGGCAACTATAACTCACCGTTTTACGGTTGAAACTCCTAAATGTAACCGCTACTCCTTCTTCAACAGTTTCTTTGCTCTCACTCCCACCTGTGGATCTCTCTTCTGATTTCTTGCTTCCCAG